CGAGGAAATCTGACCTAGGTGTCAGACACAGTAACTTAATAAAAGTTCAGACAGACAGAAATAGTTCTAGCGGTAGGGTTGTTAAATGTGGTTTAATGAACGTCAGATCAATCTCGTCTAAATCGCTTCTCATAAACGAACTTATTATAGACAAGGGCTTGGATCTGTTTGCGCTCTCTGAGACTTGGCTCCAACAGGACGAGTACGTTAGATTGAATGAGTGCACTCCTCCGACGCATGTCAACTACCAGAAAGCCAGAGCTACAGGTCGCGGCGGTGGTGTTGCGATTATATCACACACCAACTTGGTTCTTACTCCCAAAACCAACAACGCTTTTCACTCGTTTGAAAACTTAACACTTTCAATCACCTGTCCTGGGTGGAGAAAACAAAAAGCGGTGCTATTTATAGTTTTATACCGACCTCCTGGTCCTTACAGCGAGTTCCTAACAGAATTCTCTGACTTCATTTCAAACCTAGTTTTGGAATGGGAAAACATAGTTATAGCTGGAGACTTCAATATACATGTGGACGACAGCACTGACAGCTTAAACAAAGCTTTCAGCGCCGTACTAGATGGTGTTGGTTTTACTCAGAATGTCGAGGAACCTACTCACATTCATAACCCACACTTGGACCTTGTCCTGACCTACGGCTGTGATGTCTCCAATGTTGACATCCAGCGTCAAAGCTCGTTGCTGTCTGACCATTTCTTGATCACGTTTGATCTCGCTTTGGAGGACTTTCCTGTCCCGCAAGATAAAACCATAATGAAAAGAACCTTAAATGATAAATCTATCACAAGGTTCAAAGAACTAATACAGCCTATGTTGAATACTGCTGCAGGTGAACCTGTTCACAGCTGCTGCAGTCCCTCAGTCATTGACCAAACGGTGGACAACACTATGGAGTCTTTAAAATCTGCATTAAATGCAGCAGCTCCTTTAAAACAGAAAACCATTAGGATTAGATCATCGTCGCCCTGGTACAGTGTTCAACTCCACACTTTAAAACAGGACGTCAGAAAATTGGAGAGGCTATATCGCCACTCCCACTCGGAGCCTGTCCACAGGGAGTGGAAAGCAGGTCTCCGAAACTACAAGAAGGCCCTTCGCGGGGCTCGAACTCAATACTATTCAACTTTAATAGAAGCGAATAAAAACAACAGTAGATTTTTGTTTGGCACCGTCGCTAAACTCACAAACTGCCATAGCGCAATCGAGCCTAAAATTCCAAGCTCACTGAGCAGTGTCGACTTTCTCCACTTCTTTAATAATAAAATTACATCCATCCGTGACAAACTGGAGGAGGTTACTCCTGCTGTTAGTGGTGGACAGGTTGAAGCGGCATACGTGACTTCCCACTTAGACTCTTCAGTGGGCCTTGATAAATTCATGGCTGTGAGCCAAGCAGAGGTGATCTCTGTGGTCACATCCTCAAAAGCCTCAACTTGCATGTTAGACGCAGTCCCGACATGGCTCTTCAAAGACATACTTCCTTTGATAATTGAGCCTATCGTAAATATAATAAACGCATCCATACAATGTGGCTATGTCCCACAAGCTTTTAAAACCGCGGTAATCAAACCCCTTCTGAAGAAAACAAACCTGGACCCAGAAATACTTACAAACTACAGACCGATCTCAAACCTCACTTTTATATCTAAAATCCTGGAAAAACTTATAGCTGAGCAGCTCCGCTGCCACCTGCAGGAAAATAATATGTTTGAAGTCTTTCAATCAGGATTCAGAGCTCATCATAGCACTGAACCGGCACTAGTCAAAGTCACAAATGACTTACTACTAGCTGCCGATAATGGACAAGTGTCAGTGCTGGTCCTACTGGACCTTAGTGCTGCATTTGACACAATAGACCACAGCATTCTACTGCAGAGGCTAGAATGTGATATAGGTCTTAGAGGAACAGCCCTTGGCTGGTTTAAATCCTATTTATCAGATCGATATCACTTCGTCAATGTGAATCAGGACTCGTCGCCTTATTCTGGAGTGGAATTCGGTGTGCCGCAGGGTTCGGTACTCGGACCGATTCTTTTTACTCTCTACATGCTGCCACTGGGAAACATTATTAAAAAGCATGGAATTAATTTCCACTGCTATGCAGATGACACACAGCTTTATCTGTCGATGAAGCCTAACCAGACAGATCAGCTAGAAAAGCTCAGTGCCTGCATAAAGGACCTTAAAATGTGGATGACTCTTAACTTCCTACTTCTCAACCCGGAGAAGACAGAAGTGATCCTACTCGGTCCGAAGCGCCTGCGTGACTCCCTCACTAACCAGATGGTTACTCTCGATAATGTCAGTATAATACCCAGTAACACTGTGAGGAATCTTGGAGTCATTTTTGACCAAGAACTCTCCTTCAAGGCTTATATAAGCCAAGCAACTAAAACGGCGTACTTCCACTTACGGAACATCGCTAAAATTAGGAATTTCCTTCCTAAAAGTGACGCGGAAAAACTCATTCACGCGTTTGTCACCTCAAGGCTCGACTACTGTAACGCTTTACTGGCAGCGTGCCCTAAAGCCTCTTTGAAGAGCTTCCAGCTCGTTCAGAATACAGCAGCTAGGATCTTAACAGGTACCAAAAGGAGGGAGCACATAACTCCGGTGTTAAAATCACTCCACTGGCTCCCTGTGGAGTACAGAATAAAGTTTAAAATCCTACTCTTAACATATAAAGCCATAAATGGCTTGGCTCCTTCTTATCTCCAAGACACGTTAGTGTCGTATCAACCAAGTCGAGCGTTGCGCTCACAAAACGCCAGACGTCTGGTGGTCCCTAAGGTCTCAAAGGTCACTGTTGGTGGCAGAGCATTTAGCTACCAAGCTCCTTTACTGTGGAATCAGCTTCCCATTTATGTTAAGGAAGCAGATACGGTCTCCACTTTCAAGGCCAGGCTTAAAGCACTTTACTTTAATTTAGCATATAATTAGGTAATATATAATATGTAGTGTATATATTATATATATATGCTGTATTATGTTATATATTATGTTATATATTATTCAATAATGTATTGTGTTATGTTGTATATTATGTTATATATTATGCTGTATGTTATTCTTTATTCAAGGCTAGGTTTAAAACAGTCCTCTTTAGTTTAAGCATATGGCTAGGAAGTTAAGACTCTGAGAAGGTTAAACTCCTCAGAGTGTCAGTCAAGCTGCATAGGGAGTCAGTTTGCTGGGAGAAGTATGGTAACTTGAGCACTATCCTCTCCTCCTTCCTACTTTATCTGTTTAGCATTTTTAGGATTCTGACTGTAGTTTGTTCATTGCTATTCACCCGTTGTCCCATTGTCTGTTTCATGGTACGATGACGGGATCTCTGAGCCTGGCCTCTTCCATCTACACCTGCGGACTGCCCCGCCCGACCCGCCTGGGAGTGCTTCGGTCCTGCACCGGACCTGTCCACGTTCAGCGGCCACTGGTCCACGTTCTGTAGCTAGCTTAGGTCCTAGATCATTAGCCTGTCCGTCCGGAGGAGCGGATCCCTTTCTCATATGGGTCTCCCTCCCTGTGGGTTTCCCTAGTGCTCCCCAAGGTTTCTCACGTTTTCCCACTGGGTTTTTTAAGAGTTTTTCCTTGTCGATGCAGGAGGGTCTTGTTGGACAGTTAGTGTCCAACAGAAAGGATTGGTGATGATCAGGACATTTTAGCATTCTACAACATGTATGGACATTTTCTTCTGTGTGTGCTTTATATTCTTCATGTGTTTTAACTGTTGATTCTCTGACCTGTGTTGGTGATTTCAATGGTTTTGTTAAGTCCTCTGAGATGACTTCTGTTGTGACCTAGGGCTATACAAGAATAAATTGTTTTGTATTGTATTGTATTGTATTGTGTATTGGTCTTTGAGGATGGGGGGGTGTGGTCTTTGAGGATGGGGGGGTGTGGTCTTTGAGGATGGGGGGATGTGGTCTTTGAGGATTGGGGGGATGTGGTCTTTCAGGATGGGGGGATGTGGTCTTTGAGGATGGGGGGGTGTGGTCTTTGAGGATGGGGGGATGTGGTCTTTGAGGATTGGGGGGATGTGGTCTTTCTGTCACGGTTTAACAGAACCCAAGACTAGACACAGATCGGCAAGAGAAGGGTTTATTTACAAAGGAGAATATGCAATGAAGCACGTGATGTGGACAGAGGCAGGGGCAGGCAGGGGCAGGCAGGGGCAGGCAGGCAGAGGCAGGCAGGGGCAGGCGGGCAGTGGCAGGCAGGAACAGACAGGCAGGCAGAGGCAGGCAGGCAGAGGCAGGCAAGGGGCAGGCGGGCAGAGGCAGGCAGGCAGAGGCAGGCAGGCAGGGGCAGGCAGGCAGAGGAAGGCGGGCAGAGGCAGGCGGGCAGAGGCAGGCAGGGGCAGGCAGAGGCAGGCAGGCAGGGGCAGGCAGAGGCAGGCAGGCAGAGGCAGGCAGGCAGGGGCAGGCAGGCAGAGGCAGGCGGGCAGGGGCAGGCAGGGGCAGGCAGGCAGAGGCAGGCAGGGGCAGGCAGGCAGAGGCAGGCAGGCAGAGGCAGGCAGAGGCAGGCAGGCAGAGGCAGGCGGGCAGAGGCAGGCGGGCAGTGGCAGGCAGGAACAGACAGGTGGGCAGGATCTATGCACAGGAAGCGAGGTAAGCACAACAAACAATCACAATCGTAGAGCAGAGACCATAAATGTTTCACTAACAAAAAGCGACAACGAACTGGCATCGACTTGCTGGGAACGAGGCTTCTTATGCAGCTGGAGATGAGTGGCAAGTGGAGCCAGGTGAGTAGCCACGCCCAGGAAGGTGGAGACAAGACAAACACAGAAGGGGAGGGAGAGAGACAGCAGGGAGCAGATCCTGACACTTTCAGGAGGGGGGGATGTGGTCTTTGAGGATGGAGGGATGTTGTCTTTGAGGATGGGGGGATGTGGTCTTTGAGGATGGAGGGATGTGGTCTTTCAGGATGGGGGGATGTGGTCTTTGAGGATGGAGGGATGTGGTCTTTCAGGATGGGGGGATGTGGTCTTTCAGGATGGGGGATGTGGTCTTTGAGGATGGGGGGGTGGGGTCTTTGAGGATGGGGGGGGTGTGGTCTTTGAGGATGGGGGGATGTGGTCTTTCAGGATGGGGGGGTGTGGTCTTTGAGGATGAGGGGGTGTGGTCTTTGAGGATGGGGGGGTGTGGTCTTTGAGGATGGGGGGGATGTGGTCTTTGAGGATGGGGGGATGTGGTCTTTGAGGATGGGGGGGTGTGGTCTTTCAGGATGGGGGGATGTGGTCTTTCAGGATGGGGGTGATGTAGTCTTTCAGGATGGGGTGATGTGGTCTTTCAGGATGGGGGGATGTGGTCTTTCAGGATGGGGGGATGTGGTCTTTCAGGATGGGGGTGATCTGTTCTTTCAGGATGGGGTGATGTGCTCTTTGAGGATAGGGGTGATGTGGTCTTTCAGGATGGGGGGATGTGGTCTTTCAGGATGGGGGTGATGTGGTCTTTGAGGATAGGGGTGATGTGGTCTTTCAGGATGGGGGTGATGTGGTCTTTCAGGATGGGGGTGATGTGGTCTTTGAGGATGGGGGGATGTGGTCTTTCAGGATGGGGGGGATGTGGTCTTTCAGGATGGGGGGATGTGGTCTTTCAGGATGGGGGGGATGTGGTCTTTCAGGATGGGGGGGGTGTGGTCTTTCAGGATGGGGGGGATGTGGTCTTTCAGGATGGGGGGATGTGGTCTTTGAGGATGGGGGGATGTGGTCTTTGAGGATGGGGGGATGTGGTCTTTCAGGATGGGGGGATGTGGTCTTTCAGGATGGGGGTGATGTAGTCTTTCAGGATGGGGTGATGTGCTCTTTGAGGATAGGGGTGATGTGGTCTTTCAGGATGGGGGGATGTGGTCTTTGAGGATAGGGGTGATGTGGTCTTTCAGGATGGGGGGATGTGGTCTTTCAGGATGGGGGGTGTGGTCTTTGAGGATGGGGGGTGTGGTCTTTGAGGATGGGGGGGGTGTGGTCTTTCAGGATGGGGGTGATGTGGTCTTTCAGGATGGGGGTGATGTGGTCTTTGAGGATGGGGGGATGTGGTCTTTGAGGATGGGGGTGATGTGGTCTTTGAGGATGGGGGGGATGTGGTCTTTGAGGATGGGGGGATGTGGTCTTTGAGGATGGGGGGATGTGGTCTTTGAGGATGGAGGTGATGTGGTCTTTCAGGATGGGGGGGTGTGGTCTTTGTGGGAAGCAGATTTTTGCCGTGTAGAAGTAACAAGAGTAAAGCTGTACGTTGTGAAAAACTGTCACGAGGTGGATTTTAAAACAAACAAACACCAGCAACCAAACATCTGAAAACCCACCACCACGCAGCGTATAGCACCTTTGCTAGCACCTTTGTTAGCACTGAGCACAAAAAGAACCAACTCTACAACATGGCATTTGTATGAGTGGAAAATGAGAGTGGCTGTTCATGTGGACTGTTGACACTAAAGGGGACGAAGTGTGAAAAAAGGCAAAACAATTATATTTTAATAATCAGAAAATATTATGTTTTTCACGTATCCAAATCCCTCCTCCGTCCTCCTCCGAAGTCGCTAGAACAGACTGTTTTATACATTAGTCCAGTTTCCTATAGTGGCCCTGTTTAACTTATATTTTGTATAAGTTTGTTAAATCATTTTCAGATCCACATTTGATCCATAGATTCTTTTTTTTACACAGTTACACACTTTCATATTGAACCATTTAAATGTGATCATTTTTATTCTCAAGTTTAATTGTTAGAAAGAAATGGGGGAAACCGTCACGTCCGTTACACATTTATCAACATAGACTTGTGTATTGATGCCCTGACGAAGACCGCTTTAGGCAGTCCATCTTTTATAAAGGACTTTTACATTTGTACCCTTTTTTTGACCTCTTGATCACTCGGTCAGTGCGATCAAGTCAAAAACCTCCTCTCTCTGTGTAGCACTTGTGGTCAGATAAATGAGAGCTCAGAGTGTTTAGGATTATCCTTATTTTTATTTGGCGTTTGCACTGAAACACAAGAGAAACGACATCTCCACGCATTCCTCGTCTGAGCACACTTTTCAATTAGCTTTACTACATAGAACGCCTTTTAGCTTTTGTATTCTGTTATAATGAAATAAAAATACATGTAAACAGTCCTTGTTACCTGAAACACAAGAGAAACGACATCTCCACGCATTCCTCGTCTGAGCACACTTTTCAATTAGGACGTCCCAAGCCCCCCCCAAGCTGCCTCAACCTGCCTGCGTGGGTCACCTGAGTTTCTCCTGTCTAAAAATGTGCTCTCACAGCGTTATTGTTATACATGTCAATCATCATGGGTCCCACATCTGCTTAGATTGTCTTTGAAGAGCCCCTTCTCCCACTGGAACCCTCTGCAGCCCTCACCTTCCTTGCTTTGAAAGAAACTTGTGTATCTTGTATATTTTGAGGCGATCATCAAACTTGGAAGTGTTTAAGTGAATCTTCATCTGCATCTGCTGCTTTTTCAGACTGAGGACATTTTCTTTTCTGTCCCTGAGTCACAGAATGATCCAATCAGAGGCTGATCTGGACGTTTCACATTTAACAAACATGTATTTCTCAATCTTTCATTTTGATTTTATCCACACTTTCTCTTTGATCTGTCTGTGTTTGAAATCTCTAATCTATGATAGTAATTTCAGTTTTTGAGTTATAACCTTTTAAAGCCAAGATACTTAAATGTCTCTAAAATGTTTAATTAAAAGTATTTTCTTATTGTTGAAAGGAGAAATAAAACATGTTAAATTACAGTTGTATGAGTTGTAATCCCAGGAATAACACAATGCAGTAATATTTACATACTCAGTACTCAATACTCGCACAGGTACTCAATACTCGAACAGGTACTCAATACTCGTACTGGTACTCAATACTCGTACTGGTACTCAATACTCGTACTGGTACTCAATACTCGTACAGGTACTCAATACCCGAACAGGTACTCAATACCCGAACAGGTACTCAATACTCGTACAGGTACTCTATACTCGATACAAGTACTCAATACTCATACTGTAACACAATTTAGTTTAACTTTAGCATCTCCTCAAACATGTCCAGTATTCATCCTTTAGGTGGCGCTATATTTATGTGAATAAGATTAAATCAGAGACAAGCAAAATTACAATGATAAACACCAGTGAAATAAGAAAATAACCCTTTCAAAAATTAAAAACGTCCCGTTCTACAGCATCAAAATGGAGCCCGCCACTAAATAAAGTATTCTGCAGTGTGGGATCATTTTGACTTGTTATAGCAAATATGATAGAGTTTGTAATTCATATTTCACGCTTTATCTACAACCAATAATAATTCATGTGATACAGGTTAGCTATTTTCAAAGCAGGGCGGCCTGGTGGCCAAGCAGATAGCACCTTCACCTCACGGCAAGAAGGATGTGAGTTCGAATCCCAGTCGGAGCAGGACCTTGGTAGATACGTTAGAGTTGAAATCACAGTCAATCTTTATTGCAATCAACTACAAATACATTCACAACTATCACTTTAATGTTCACATAAATGTTAAATAATAACACAGACAATGCAGTAACATAACGTGCAGGTAAGTAAAGGTCATTGAATCAGTGAGTACGATGCAATGATGTATAAGATCCACCAGGCGTCGCTATAGAGCAGCACAAGCAACACTGCTGCGGCACAGATCAATACAGTTTGTTGGATGTGCCGAAACGATACGTGACGTTTCATTTACCCGTCACTAATAAACACTATAAATGACAATAAATCAAAGTGAACAGACAATATACTTATACTATAAGTGCAATAGAATACTGTTGTGTGTCTTTGTGTGTTTGGGCACATATGCATGTGCACGTTTGTGTGTGTTTGGTTCCATATTCTTGCTAAGAGAAGGGAAGGCGGGACTTACCGTAATATTAGAATTCATAAAGATTGTTGATCGCAGCATTATGAGGGCGGGATAACCGTGGTAACAAGAATTTACTGACGGAGGAAAACACACAACTCATCAGTCTCTTTGACCGGCTCAATCTTACGCATGGAGCGCACCGCGTCATTTATTGGGTACAGACATACACTTCCGGTTTGACCCTTCAGTGTAAGAGCATACACACACACATATATATATATATATATATATATACACACAGATACCTACAAGGCAACACCCCCACTTGCTCTTAACACGGCAAGAAAAATACACAGGCATATTTACATTACATTTACACATTTACACTCCAAACAGAAAATTTGCGAACTTTTCCAACTTTGCTCACTGATTTAGTCATTACATCAGCTGCCATGTCTGCTGTTGCACAAAATACAACATTTATTTTGTTCTCATTTAGTGCAGAACGAATGAAATGGAATCGAATTTCAATATGTTTACATCTTTGTCGGTTAATAGGGTTTTTGGACAATGCAATTGCACCCTGGTTATCTGCATACATGGTAACGGGTAAATATTGCTTTTCTGAGTCCAACCCTTTAAGTAGTTGTGCAAGGTATAAACTCTCTTGTACTGTGGCGGCCATCGCCATGTACTCCGCCTCACACGTTGACAAAGCTACCGTAGCCTGCTTTCTGGTTTTCCAACATATGATAGGCCCACTCTCAGATAGTGCAAAACAGTAGCCTGTTGTACTTCTCCTGTCACACAAATCTGTGGCCCAATCTGCATCACTGTATGCTATAAGGCTAAGGTTACCGTCTGCCTTTCTATAACATAGCTCTTTGTTTAGTGTCCATTTTAAGTAGCGTAGCACATGTTTTGCTGCTGTCCAGTGATGTTCTTTTGGTGCAGACAAGTATTGTGATAGTTTACTCACTATCCAACTTAAATCTGGTCTTGTGGATGTCATTAAATAAATCAGGCTGCCCACTAGTTCTCTGTATCTACCAGAATCTACTAGTTCACCTTCTACTTCGAAGTTTTGTTTCAGCTCCGGAACATTCCAGTCATTTACTTTGAATGCATAACTATGATCTTCAGAATCTGCAACATGTTTAACATTCGTCTTTTTTTGTAGTCTACAATTATTGTCTTTATGTGTGGAACTGTTGCAGTAACTACACCACTGCTTCTCCTTAGACTCAGGTCTGTCACTCTTCGCATAGCATTCACGTGCAATATGACCTTTCTTTCCACAGTTGTAACATTTGATCTCTACATCGTCTCTGTTTTTATTTCTCTGCCAGTTACTCATCTTCATTACGTTGTCTTCTGAGTTTACAGGCTTTTCTGTGATCTCGTAGCTCCTTAGCTTTGCTTTGAACTCGCTGAATTTGATTTCTTTTTCGCTCTGGGTAATGTGGATGGAAAATGGCTTGAAACTTTCAGGCAATCCTTTTAGTACCATTGCCACAAGCAACCCATCGCTCAAAGTCTCTTCAGCATTTCTTAAAGCTGTGATGGCATTCTCTGCTCGTATGATATAGTCTGTCACGCTCTCGCTCTCAGTCTTCTGAAGCGATGTTAGCTCCGTGTACAGGCTAATAACACGAGTCTTGCCTTTACCAGAGTAGTGCTCTCTTAGTATCTTAAGCGCTTCTCTTCCATTGTCTGTAGCTTCTCTCATCACAAGTGAGAGGCTTCTATCGTCCAAGACTTGAATAAGCTCAGCATAAGCTTCTTCGTTCTTAGCTTCGTGAGAATCTTCATCTTCCTCTTGCTCACCTGGCTCGTTCAAAATGGCCTCCTTCAGCCCGAGCAGCCGCAAGTGTCCCAAGAATTTAGTTTCCCACAGTTCATAATTTCTTTCGTCCCCGTCGAAGCACAATCGGTTCCATCGGCCTCCTCCATCCCTTCTGGGCCCATAACCTGTTGATCGCAGCATTATGAGGGCGGGATAACCGTGGTAACAAGAATCTACTGACGGAGGAAAACACACAACTCATCAGTCTCTTTGACCGGCTCAATCTCACGCATGGAGCGCACCGCGTCATTTATTGGGTACAGACATACACTTCCGGTTTGACCCTTCAGTGTAAGAGCATACACACACACATATATATATACACAGATACCTACAAGGCAACAGTTCTAAAATCAAAATATTGGAAAGTCAGAGGTAACAACATTTCAGAACACAACAGTGTGACAGCAAGATCCTCTATCAATCTTGTGACATGTGGTTG